GTGCTAATTTGCTATATTATTGAAAGCCTTGCAAAATGCTTTTTTCTGAACATAGCTGCTTTCTGGTTTGCAGAATGTTATTGACTTTCAGTGAGCAAACAAAAGGTAAAGAATTCCCAAAGAATGCATCAGATCAGGAAATGCTTGAGATTGTTATGTCAAGGTGCAACTTTCTTTCTAATATTAATGTAATTCTAATCATGTTTGCACTTAATGACTTATGATGCACGGCTTATGGGTGAAATTTGAACCTGTTCTTGTGTTTGGTATTTTACATGTATAAAAGCTTTAAGTTCAAAAATTGCTCGACCTAAATGATAAGTAATACCAGTAAATGTTATAAATGCCAATACATCTGAAATAGTCTTGCATTCTCAATTTTCATGTTGTCCTGTTCATACTTTGACATGATTCCAGAATAAATATGTTCCTTTTTTCAAGTTCATACTTCAACATAATTCCCGAATAAATATGTTCCTTTGATTGCTAATATGATATATTGCTTTAACTGAACTCCCATGCAGTGGTTTTTATTTCTTAGTGTGGAAAATTTCTTCTTCGAGTGAAACTCTAATTCATTGGGATTAATAATATAGATATGAAAAGGAACTTATCAACCCTATCCAGAATCTTCTCCATGGAGAGCTCACTCGTGCTCTGCTCATCCAGGTAATGCACGTTATTTTTACCTTGCAATTACCACATTTTATTCTGGTAGCATAGTCTCATGCCTTTTCCTTTGCAGGTTCAAAAATTGAAACTGGATATTGAGAAGTGAGTTCAACACCAGCGTTTGCTCTGTCTCTTAGTCTGATTGTAGCCGTGCGTGCATGGTTTAGACAGGTCTGAACACTTTTAAAACTATACGACATGTTATTAATTTTTTTAAGTAAATTCCATTTGTTGATCACTATAAGAAGGGACAAGATACTAGGTTAGTGATGCCACTGTTTAGATGGTTATACAAATTTATGTTGCCACACTATCTATTCAACCTTGAACTTCCAGCTTACGTGTTCCTTTCTGTCTCTTGATCTTTTAGTGGTCATGCGCTATGGCTTAGGCAGGTCTGCACACTTTAAAGCTATACAATATATTATCTAATTAATTTTCTCAAGTAAATACCATTTAGGAGGGGACAAGATGCTAGGTTAGTGATGATACTGTTCAGATGGATATTCAAATTTATAGTGCCGCTCTATCTTTTCAACCTTAGCTCATGCTACATTTTTAAATTAACAAGCCTTGTGAAGAGCATAGTATCGTATTATGTGTCTTTGGATCTTGTTTTTTGTTACCCTTATTGTTGTGTATTTTCAATGTATTGTGCATTGTTCTAACAAAAACATCCAACTAAACTGCAGAAAGCATTGTGTACAGAGCTACAATGTATTTGAATATATGAGGGACATTGTTAGTCGGGTTCCTGATTATGGTCATGGCCATTCTGAGGCTGCTGCTACTGATGATATTTTCCCATATCATTCTGCCAGAAAAGCTGCCGGAGATGATGCCAATGCTAGTGATGAAGAATCTAAGAGAAGCATAATGGTAAGATGATTTCTTACTTCAGGCTGCTTAAAACTTTGGGGGCTCGAATGAGTGCAAAGATATTCTTTAAAGCTATGAAAGTTTAGTTTGGTAGAAGTTTCCTTTACTTGGTAGAACTATAAGTAGAATGTCTGCTCAATAAATTCCATTATTTATGTTTCTAGTATATGTAACATATATGTATACATTTGTATGTATTTTTGTTATATTAATGTTTTCCACCCTTTTAATTTCAAGTGACTTGTTTTTATTTAATATATGCAATATATGCTTTGATTTGTAGAATTGATTATTATTGTGGGTGTAAAGAATGTCTTTAATGGAATTTTATGCAACTCATGTAGCTACTCCTAATAGCGTCATTTGCGGCATTTTTAGATGAAAATGCCACTAATATTGGGCTTATTTGCGGCGTTTTTAATTACAAATGCACTAAATACACAGTTAATAGCGGTGTTTATTTATAAACGCCGCTAAATACACAGTCAATAGAGGCATTTTCAAAGACAAACGCCGCTAAATACACAGTCAATAACGGCGTTTATAAAGTCAAACGACGCTAAATACACAGTCAATAGCGGCATTTTCAAAGACAAACGCCGCTAAATACACAGTCAATAGCAGCGTTTGTCTTTACAAACGCCGCTATATGTCTCGACCTATTATGACATTTTTTTAAAAACGCCGCTAACAATTGTGGCGCTTGTTATAGCGGCACTTCTTGCGGCGTTTTTGCAAGCGCCGGGAAAGTTTTTAGCAGCACTTATAAACGCCGCTATAGGGTTAAAAAAACGCCGCCAAATGCCTTTTTTGCTGTGTGAATTGAAAAACTAGGGCCATCGGATCCTCCCCTTTTAACCGATGCAAGATTAACATGTGTGAATTGAAAAACTAGGGCCATCATTTTCAATTATGTTGACATCAATTTCATGATACACCGAAACAAATATCGACTTCCCCCAATTTCGTTATTGATATGCCCCTATTAGATGCCAAAATCATTTTCATTGCTTGGAAATCTATATTCCTCGTGGTCAGTAATCGACCCACCAAGCAATTATCAAATAATACAAGAGATTCAATGTTCGTCTAATCAAACGATAAAATTTTCTCCTCTTAATCCCCTAATTTTAAATCCTCCATCTTTCACCAACAAAGCACAAAATAAATAAACTATGTCACACCCCAAATTATGGCTTTTTTTTAATTTTAATTTCAATAACTAAATTGAAATTCGATTAAATTCAGGGATCAAAATGAATTTTATTTAAAATTCAGGTCCAATTTATGAAGCAACCAAAATTGGAGACCTATGACATGATTTTGCCATTTTTTTCATTTTTGAGAGTTTAAAAACACCCTAAAGCAGTAAGTTTTTATTTCTGTAAATTTTTTCTTTCTCTTCCACATTCATTTTTTAGTATTTTCTCTCTCTGAAAACTTCAAACATTGTTTCGTAACCAACTGTAGATCTGTTTGCTACACCGACTTCACCATTGGATTCTCTGCATCATCTCGGGTCCACCGATATTGACCTCGTCGTTAAAGTCGTCGGCGTGTGGAGGGGTGAGCGATAACAAGTTTTTGACATTTTCAAATCGAGCTCTTCGTCATTCACCGTTATGAATCGAACTAGGCAAGTGTCTCAAAATCCCTTAAAATAATGTTTAAAAATTTTCTGTAATTTTTTCGTCGCCAAACATCGTCGTACGCGCCCCCATGCACCGCTATTGCGTGTTTATTGTTGACCGACGTTGACGTTGACTTTGACTGTTGATTTTTTTTCAAAAAACCTCTATTTTGACATTTTTTGACGTCCTGAGTTTGATTTTGTGGTCTATTTCACCAAATTCTAACCCTAAATCCCCTTAAACCAAAAATGTTTTGTATTTTTTTAGCATTTTTACTTATTTATCTAGGATTTGATTATAGAATTGATCTGAATTTATATTTTCATGAAGGTACTCATGAGTCCCATGATCGAGGGTCGACTAGATCCAGTGTTTCCCGCTCAATTGATCACTCCAGTTCATATTCTTTGAGAGCTACTCGTAGGTTTCTATAAATAGTTGAATTAAAGCTTATTACTTATTTTATTAGGATTATGATTTCTGTTATTTCAACTCGTATGATCTAGCACTGTCGCTGACCGTGATAGGTAGACCCGAGAGTAGGCTACCGTCCCAGACTTCTCATATCACTACATGTGTGTTCCTATTGGTGTTACAATATTGTTTTGAAATATCTATCTGAACAGTTTTAAATTTCTGATTTTATTAAACACTGTGACTGCATGATATCAGATTATTGTATTCTTCTGACATGATCTTTGCTTATCGTATTTCTGCATCTAATTCTAAAATATGGCATGTTTTAATACTTTAATAAATTAAACTACTATTTTCACTCAAATACATGCACATTTACTATTATTGGGGGAGGTATGATTGGAGGAGGTATCTCATGCTTAGTCTGTGACTTGTAAGACCTTACTGCAGACTCCTCTATTTTATGCACATGGTAAGTCCTTACCGTAGGCCCTTATACTATTAGTAGAAGGTCCTTACGGGTGTACATGTAAGTGTATGGTTTAGGGGAACCTACACATTCTGGTGTTCGGATGAGGGTAGTGTTCATTCTTCAGTTCTTTTAACTTTTCAGATACTACTCGATAGTAGGCTAACAAATTTGGCATCATGAGGATCGCATATTTTTTGTTTTGTATCACTGTATATTTCTATACACCTTTTTTGTTATATGTTGGTGACACTTGTTTTACTATCGCTTACGTATCGATATTACTGATATTTTGTATCCCGACGTCATTATCTCTATATATTTACCGCATGAACTTTTATATATGATTATTATTTTCATTATTTTACCTTTACTTAGTTCTTATTCACTAAAATGAATTTGGATTGCATTTTAAATATGAAAAGAACTACAAAATACGACATGTGATCGTCTAAATTCGATCGTAACTCCCAGGCCGATCAAACTCCCAAGGAATTCAAACCCCCAAAAACCTAAAAGATGGGTAAAAGACCTAAAGATGGGTAGAGAGAAAACCCTAAAGATTACTTTATTCGTTGAAATATGTTAAGTTTGTTTTAGTGAAATAAATTTGTGTTTAATATAGATATTTTTTCATTTGAGTTTTGGGTCTTAAAAGTTTAATGAGTCTAGTGTGGTTAAAAATAATCAAGTCTTAATTCTTAGAGAGTCTAACTTAAAACATATGTAATATGTATTTAATATTTTTGGTTTTTAATTAAATTAATTAATTGATTTTAAATCGAATTAGCATAATCAAATTTTAAAAGATTGATTAATAATTAATCTATCCAACATCTAATTGTCTGATCGATTAATAAAATTAAATATTAATTTAATTGATTAATTTGATTAAAACCCAACAATAAACACACATGGTGATTTGTGTTTTAGGAACCCTAAAAAATCAGATAATCCAAAGAAATGCAGAGAAGCGATCAAACATCAGCTCACCATGGCTGCCGAGGTGATGCTAATGAACGAGATTGAGGCGACGGCTGCACAAATGGGCATCGATATGAACATAGATTTCAGCTCCATCCAACTTCCTCCTGGTGAAAACTTTGGCATCATCAGGTGCCGCACCTAATTTCTTTCTAAATGCTTTACACTGAATTTGTGTGTGTTTTTATTTTATCTTATTTTTCTAACGTTCGCTTTGGACAGTGACGACGATGATGTTTACCATGATGAGCAATTAGAGTTAGATTCCGGATTTGGAAACGTCATTGTTGTCGATAATCTTCCTGTTGTTCCTTGTGAAAAGTTTGAGAATCTCGAAGGTGTTCTTCGAAAAATCTATAGTCGGATCGGGGTGATTAAGGAAGATGGTCTCTGGATGCCCGTAGATCCTGAGACGAAGAAAACCCTAGGTTACTGCTTTATAGAGTATAATACTCCTCAGGTTCGTTGTTTATTGCTTTGACTATTTTATGGCTTTATCTTTTGAAATCTGAGTTGTTTATCCTTTGTTCGTTATGGATTTAGGAAGCTGAGCTTGCTAGGGAGAAGACTCATGGGTACAAGTTGGATAGAGCCCATATTTTTGTTGTGAACATGTTCGATGATTTTGACAAGTACATGAAGGTTCCTGATGAATGGGCTCCACCCGAGATTAAACCCTACACACCAGGGGTAATATTCATATATATTATTAAATATTGTTTCTCTCCATTGTTTTAGTTGTTAATGCATTTAATTTATGCGTTCTTCACAATTGCTATAAACCCCCGATGGGAGTACAATTGGTTATTTGTGTTGTTCTCATATATACACTATTTTTTGGCTCAAACATTGATGACAAGCTGCTTATAATGCATGGTTATGGAGTTCGTATAAAAGGTTTTATACTTTATTTAAGCTTTTTGAATATGTAAAAGGCATTTCTCCTTTGACTGAGACCAGGGTTAGTGCTTAGTATTTAAATTTTTTTGTATATCAATTTACTTGCATTAAGATTGTAGAGAAGTTGATCACAGGTTCTTCCTTGAGTAATATTATGTAGATTTTGTTGCTATTAGACTTGTTTCTAAGGAATATTTGAATTTCCTATCACAGAGAAAACCTCAAATCTCAACTCTTCTTATGACACAAACACCGCTTTTCTATCCGTTGCTTCCTAGTGCTTTGTCTTTATTACATAAATACTTTGTTGTCTTTGCAGGAAAATCTTCAAAAATGGCTTGCTGATGAGAAGGCACGAGATCAATTTGTGATTCGTTCTGGCACAGATACTGAGGTTTTATGGAATGATGCAAGGCAGTCTAAAACTGAGCTTGTATACAAACGAACTGTAAGAGGTTTGCACTTCGTAAAACACTTCCTTTATATCTATCTGTTTTTATGCATGTTGGCTAGTTATTCATGCTGGTGTCTTTGACTGAGTGATATTGATAGATTTAGTTTAAGCAATTGCTTTTGTTGTATACATATGCTGGTTGTTGTTGTCATTATTCTATTGTTAATGCACTATATATAACGTTCTTAACTGGTTTTGTTTACAGTATTGGACTGAGAGCTTTGTTCAGTGGTATCCCATGGGTACATACTTGGCAACAGTTCACAGGCAAGGAGCAGCAGTTTGGGGAGGTTCCAATACCTTCAACCGTCTAATGCGTTATGCCCATCTGCTTAACTTCAACTCTTTTCGTTTAAATTAAGGAAGCTAATTAGATCCTTTACCAGTTTTTTTTCTTATCTAATATAAACTTCGGTAATGAAACAAATGGGTAAATGGAAAACAACTACGTCCTAAAGACATGAGAAAAAAATCATAAACTGAATCTAACAGAAGTCTGAGAGGTTCGGAAACTTCATCGATGTAGTGGTGGGGATTAAAACAGAAAGAGTATATAGAAAACCATAAATAATATAAACAAAAGAAGCACCCGGTAAATTGTGTCACATAAGTAAAAATAGGCAGGACTGCTGGAGGTGTTTTGAGCGAGAAGACACTAAGAAAGTTGTTGTCTTCGTGAAGGCGTATAGAAGATATGGGGTCTTTCTCATGCTTCCATGATCGATGCACGTCTATATTTTCCCCAACCATGTAGAAGACACCCATGACTTCATGTGTCTTTCCCGGAACATGCAGAAGATGCTCACCATTTCATGCGTCTTCATCGTGCTATTGTTGAAGTCATCCTATTTGGGAGAATAACCTCATGGGTGTAATATATTGGAAAAAGAAATCCACTGCCCTACTTAGTTGATTTTGTTAATAAAATGCATCCCTGTTTTTTTTTTAATAAATTTTAATTAAAATGTGTTATTTCGACAAGTAAAGAAAAAATTGATATATTTAAGTAAAAAAAAATGGAAGAAGGAAAAACCTCCAATGCCTCAACTGAGGAGGGAAAAGAAACGGTTTACCATTTCCTCGAAAAGCTTCTTTGCAAGAAAATCTCCCAAAACCAGAGATGAGTACCGCAGCCGATACCTGCAATTGGCTGAAACTGCCGTTGAACGTAACGGCCTCGATTCTCTCTCGGATAGGTGCAGTTGAGATCCTTAACGCCGCCCAAAAAGTGTGCTTTCAGTGGCGAAACATCTGCAAAGACCCATCAATGTGGAGATCCATTGACATGCGCAACTCGGGTGATTTATGGGACATGGACGACGACCTCGAGAAGATGTGCCTCCACGCTGTCGATCGCAGCTGCGGCCACTTGCTTGATATCAATGTTGAATATTTTTGTACCGATGAGCTTCTATCTTGTATCTCTGAAAGGTAAAGTTTCAGCCATTTCCCCCTTCTATTTTATAACTTCTAATTGTTTTTCAGGTTATTACTGATTATCAATTATCGGTGTTCGTTCTTTAATCTTAATGGATTGTTTTATAATTGTATAGGTTTGGTTTATTAATAGTCAAATTCTGAGCATTTCTTAGTTCTTCGGTTTCTTACTTCAAGCTTTAGTTTCTTACTTTAATAGTCAATTTCAGGGTACCTAGTCCAACACTCCAACTTATGTACATTTTTCAATTAAAATGATCACTTAAAGCATGAACATTCAATAGAAAGATGGTTGTATGTTTGCATTAATAATTTCATTCACCACTTATTTTTATTATGTTACAGTACCGAAATGGTTACTCGTTTGTTCGCGACTGCTGTTGTCTTTCATTGCTCTTATCTTTTTTGAAGTGATGATGCTTTTCACAGGTCCGTTCATCTTGAGCGTCTCTGACTAGTGTCGTGCCATAACATTTCGGATGAAGGGTAAAGCAAAGCAGCTTTAAAGCTTCCATTTCTGGAAGAGCTTGAAATTTCATACTGCTGCATTTAGAAAGATGCTCTGAAAACTATTGGCCGCAGTTGCCCTCTCTTGAAAACATTCAAATTCAATCTTCTGGGATGCAGACGCTTCCACTCAGAGTCTGATGACAAGGCACTAGCTATCGCACAAACTATGCCTGAATTACGCCATCTCCAACTTTTGGGAACAAGTTAATGAATGCAGGCTTGCAGGCCATTCTCAATGGTTGTCTGCACCTTGAATATCTCGACTTGAGGCAATGTTTCAATGTTATTCTGGGAGGGAACTTGGAGAAAAGTTGTGTCGAACGCATAAAAAACTTGTGGTGCCATATGATTCAATTCATTTTTACGAGTTTGATGTAGAAATTTATGATACTGGGTTGTTAGATGACGATTATCCATCTGGAATTTCAGACATCGACTTCATGTCCGATGACTATGATAGCTATTTTGTGTTCTTAGTTGGTAGTGACTTCTCGGATTATGATGAATACTGATGCCATGCAGTAGGGGGCTACTTTCCAGTGTCCAGAGGAAATCAGGTTATAAAATTGGACTGCCTTATCCCCTATGTGTTTGCACATTTTCTTTGTCAGTGTTTATTACTCATTTTTGTAGTTTTATCCTTAAAATATTTTTTCGTTTTTTAAAAAGGTTCTAGGATTTTCGTAGCCGTATTCGTGATCGATATAGTTAAACTTCAGTCTGTGTTGGTGTAGTGATGATTAATTTTGGGTGTTGTCGGTAAATAGCGTGAAGATACAATTGAGCTGCTGCATATTCAACGAGTATTGTTGCGGTTCATCGGGTTTCTCCGAGGTCGTCAAACGATGTTCTTTTGTTGCATTGCAGGTCGAGTTGTATTCATGTTGTCGTCATCGACGGTGTTGGTGATTCCTGGAGAATACATATCTTTTGATGGATCTTGGCTGTACTCTTTGTTTTTGCAAATTCTTCTATGTGCAAATATTATTACGAATGATACGATATAGAAATACAAGTTTATCAAGTTTTGTATAGTTGCTTTACTGCCCACGAGAAATGACAGCCATTTTGGTTTGGATTTCATACTATAAGAGTGTCAACAATACCTCACTTGCTTCAAGGTTATTGCATTCCTCGTCATTCTAGACATTGAGCCCTGTAACTTTTAACCATGATCATCACTTAATTACTTCAATCCTAGGGTATTTCTTCTAACTTTTGTTGGAAAAATTTACTCTTGTAAAACAAGACGTTAGCACTAATCGAAAAATATTAAATAAAATATTTAAACAAAGAACCGATTAACCGTGTCGTAGTATTAACCATTATGATGTATTAACCATTGTTTTCTCTTGAAGTGCAAATGAAATGGAAAATTAAACCTCCATTTATAGGCTTAACATAGGGGGTAAAATGGTAAAAGATCCAATAACAGTTACAAAATAATTAATTGTCATAAACATTATTCTAATGGCCATAAACTATATTAAATATTTTGTAACGACTACAAATGGTAAATTTACTTCGATAAATAATATTTTACCGAGAGGATCTTATTTAAAAAGAAACACATATGAACTGAATCGAACAACGTCTAACAGTTTATATCCAATTTGAAATTCTTTGTATAACCAACATTCCCTCACTAATACAAAACAATTCTTTTGTCAAAACACAAGAAGAACAATATCGAGATTAGTTGCTTAAGCACTAGTGAACATATCTGAAACTATTACATAGAGATGATGAGTAATTCTTCTCTTAGATAAGTGAATGAATGTTGAACTTTCTAATATAAGGGTAAACTCATAACACACAACTAACCCCTTCATTCACCAAAGTCATCGATGTGTCTACAAAATATGTATACGAATGTATATATAGCCATCTCTCCTCAGGATTCTAGTAAGTATACTAGAAAAATGACCCAACTTTTTTCATAGAAGGTGGCTAATCCTTCTCACTTACATAGGTTATTTCATCAGGTCTATCTCAACATAAACCACTCGAAACCAGACTATGAAATAATTAAGAGCTTTTATAACAGCTCAACCTCACAATAGGAATGGTGAAATTTTTCCAAGTTCATTTATAAATGAACTACTCAAACTATGAGATAAGAAATCATTAAAAATAAATATTCAACTTCATTTCGATGAATTCAACATGTCCTTCACATTAGGAACTCTCAAACTTTCGAGTTTGAATTCATTAATAGTTTTAATAAAACTCATACTTTTTAGATGTAAGTTCATCTAGTCCTCCACGATTAGGACTACCCACTTAACATTGGGTAATGAAATTATTAAGAATATATATTCAACAAAAAAATGGATAAATTCATCAATTCTTTCTCACTATGACCCCCCAAAGTCTAGGCTATGAATTTGTTAAGAGAAATTAAGCTCATCCTTTGCAATATACATTATTCTTCGTAGAGATATGGAAATAAAAATTTACACTATGAGTCTTTCCATGACTTCGTTTGACTACATTGAACTTAGATAACTAAGTTGTGTATCTACTATGAATTTCTCAACCAATGAGATTTAGACCCATCCCCTCGACGAATCAAGAACCAACTTTCGACTTTAACCTTTGGTAAGCAAATCAACTAGGTTCCTCTCTAACTTTGATCATCATTTAAGACATCCCCGCATTTCTAACATTTTTATAATATAAATAAATTTGTAAGTGTCTTGGATAACATGTAAACAAATTCTCTTAAATATTTACTTATTCATACTTAAGTAAAGTTTGTTATTAGTTTTAACCATAAAATTATACTCTAACAAACTCAAATTTTGTTTACACATTATTATATTCTCAAACGATCATGAAGTTTCTTACCTCATCAATAGTCATTCATGACTTATTTTTTTCATTCAAAAGAATTATTTTATCCTAGTTATTCGTAAGAAGTATTTAGGAATGTTATACAAATATTTATGAGGAGTTTTCAACTTTTCCTAACAACAGGAAAATTTTCTCAAGTATTTCACAAAGATATTTCAACAACTTCTTAGGATAGACAACTCCTCTATTTAAGAGTATACTCAATGCCTACAAATCAGCCTCTTAGTAGCACCAATGTCTATAACTTTTTCATTCATAATATTCAATATATTAGCATTAAAGAAATCATTACATATTTTATTTACTATGGCTAAATTTGGTATTCTACTCTACTAATTTAATATCTACTCTTTTAATTTCTGCACTAAGTTTAAAGAGAGTTTAACTTGTCATAGTATTTTATAAAATTGCAATAGTGAACATGGTAATAAACAGTGCACCATGTAGGTTTCTATGAAAGAGAGGTGGCGCATTATGCACGCTTAAATACTAGATATTCATATAACCAATCCAAGAAATACAATTTCATACTATCACACTACTTTTCAATAAATTATTTATGATTTTTCTCTTTCTTAAGGCTTCTTAAAGAATTATGCTTTATACTTTTACTCACAATAGTATCTTATTAAGCACACACATTTTGGACTCACTACTACTTTAGCCTTAACCTTAGTCTTAGTCCTTATACTAGTGGTTTATCTCAGTCTATAATATATACACTAAGTTTTATAAAGACTAACTTAAAGCGTTCATTTATCCATGTATTTATAAAACATGAATTAATATGCAACAAGTTTAATTAATCTGACCTTGTAGGTAGAATTATAACGCCCAAACAGACTTGTTCATTCTCACCATGCTTGCAACTTCAATCTTTGCATCACATCTTTAATCAGCATGACCCCAAAATCTACTGTGACAGTCACTTCATCTAAACCAATATCTCTTTGAATTTTCTAAATTAAAATGAAGATTATACATGATTAGTCATGAACATAATTTACTAAAAGTGATAAAATTAAAATAATTTACTAATTGTAAAGATTCTTATCTTTAGTAGATTGTGGAAATCAAATATGAATTTAACAATTATTCGGTTTGGAGATTCTCATTTCAACTTCATCAATTTCATACTTCTCTAAAATTACACATGTCATGTGTCTTTACATATTTTTCAAAATAAATTATTAGTACAGTAAAAAAGAATCGACAACTATTTTCACCTTAATTTTCAAGAGCTTTATAATCTTACCCCACATAAAGTAAATGATTTCATATCTCCTCATGAACCAACTATCATACCCCGAGGCATTCGGTATTAACTCACCACATTGTACGATTAATATACCAATAAATATCACTTATTAAAATGGTATTATTAGCCAGTCTACAAAATCATGCCTCCTCTAAAATAAAAAAAAATTGTTTAATTACTTTAAAAAGCTATTAAAAGCTGTAAACCCATTAGACCTTAATAAAGAAGTCATTAAAAACAAAAGCCTTTTTTGCAAATATAATATCAACGTATACTCGTTTAAATGCAAAATAGCTAATCAATCATTATAGTTATACATACATATATATGTATTTGTTCAAAAACAATAAATGTTAATCAAACGTTTAACAGAACAACAACTCAACTATTAAACGCATGCTTCAAGATATAATAATCAGCAATATATATCGACAGCAATAAAACACATTTATTCGGTTTTACTCCTATGAACCCCTCCAATGACAGTGCTATTCTTGGGTGTTCAAATACAGCATTAAAGATGCATTATTATGCATTATAATAATAAACGTATCCATTAATCCGTGCATTAAAAGTCCGCTTTCAAACATTTTAGTGAAAATGTGTTTAACCACATTTCTTAATTTCATGCATTTCTTTATATATAATAACAGAGGAATTTCAATAAGTTTAAACCTATAGTTAGAGAAAGACTATATATATAGCAAACCAAATTTAATAGAATGTATAACTCTATACCTTCGTTTCACCCTTAATAATGAAACATTGGTTAGAAAAAACAAACCCGAACTGCTATACCAAGCGTTATTAATGTTGATCATGTTTGAACAACGGTACGTGAATTCGCTTCTAAATTATTGACAAATTTTGACTGTTGTAAAATGAGAAGTTAGTTCTGACTGAAAAATATTATATAAAATATTTAAACAAAGAACCGATTAACCGTGTCGTGGCATTAACCACTGACTTAAAAGCGAATTTGCCCTGAGATATGTAATCGCTACAATGGACGTATAATCCTCCGAGATTAGCACGACTCTCTAACACCTGAAAGATGTAATGGTCTCTGGTGGTACTGCTCTTCTTCACTCAAGGCAACATTCTATAAGAGTGTTTCCAAAGCAAACAATTGCTTTTGGATGTTTTCTCTTAAAGTTCATATGAAATAAAAATCAAACATCCATTTATAGGTTCAACATAAGGGGGTGTTTGGTTCAAGGATTGTGGGATTCCCATGTTTGGTTGGCCGGGAATCTCATTCCCGGTAATATTTTATTACCAATAGTAGATTTTTTGGGGTTTATTATCGGAAATGTCATTACCTCCATTCCCTTAGGTATTGTAATATTACCGGCATTTTGGACTAAAATGCCCTTAATTTTTTATTTTTTTTTTCAAAAATATCCTTCTTCTGTCATTGAATAATAAAAATTCTACGAAGGTTAAATTACAAATTTATCCTTAAATTATTTTAGATTTACAAAAAAAAGTCTATAATTAAAATTTTATATGAAGTTCAGGGACTAAAAATTTTTTACCCTTTCATTAAACATTTTTTATATTTTTAAATTTTGTAAAAAAAATTATATAAATATTATGAATTTAATTTTTTAAAGAAAATATATAAATATTTTACAATTTGTAATATTATACAAATATATAATAAGGACAATTTGGTCAAATATACATTCCAAAAATCTTTTATTTCTTTAACCAAACACGTTAATCTTACATTCCTGCTAAACCAACCAAACACAAAATACAACATTCCCAGTAATCCTATTCCCTGGTAATCTTTTAGTCCCACTGGTAATCTTACATTCCGTGAACCAAACGCACCCTAAGAGTAAAATGGTAAAAGATTCAATAACAGATATAAAATAATTAATTGTCATAAGCGTTATTCTAATGACCATAAACTATATTAAATATTTTATAATGACTATAAACAGTAAAATTTCTCGGATAAATAATATTTTATCGAAAAAATATGATTTAAAAAGAAACATATATGAAATCTAATAACGCCAAGCAATTTATATCCAATATAAAATCCTTTGTATTACCAATAACTTTTAGATAGGACTGCGTAAATATGAAATACGATGAGAAATGATGTTTGGGTTGGGAGGCGAGGCGAGGCGAGCTAGGAGTCCCATCGACCAAACCTCTGCCCTAACTGTTGAAACAATTGAACCACACAACCTCGGCTCACATCACATCACATGTCATGCATGCACTGTTCGATTTGGCCATGTTGGCTACGGGTGTGCAAACCCGAAAATCTGGGTCAGTGATTTTTCGGCTAGGGTTCTAACCCGGATGTCTCGGGTATCCAGTTTTCGAATATCCGGATTTTGCGAGTACCCAAATACTTGGATTTTGCGGGTACCCGTATGTCGGGTACCCGAATACCTGGATTGTTTTTCTTCAAATTATTAAATAAAAAAACATACAAATTTAAATGTTCGAAACTTCGAATTACACATTCCAACATCGAAACACGAAATTTAAAATTTCGAAATACAAACATTTAACCTAAACACATACACTGAGTACAAACGTGGTGCAAAATCCATGGTGACAGCACACACTTTCACATGATCATTCCTTCTGCCTTTTTCAAATCCTTTTCTTTGATCTTAGTTTCTATTCCCAGTTTAACTAAACCCAGTTTTACATTTGCTGCTTTTTCCAGTGATTGGTTAGAATTTTGTACAGAGAGGGATGATGATGATGATGCCTTGGAGAAGAAGCTCAATGACGAGTGATGACAATTACTAAGTAGCTACCCAGCTAGCTCTTAACTATAGGGAGATGTTGTTGGTAAGGATGTAATTGTAGAGTTTAACAGAAATTTATAGTCATAAACTCATTTTAGTTTACCATTTTTATCTTCACTTTTTTTGTGTTTGCTTCTTCATGCACCTTAGTTGATATCAATGGTGATTTTAACTTCCAATTTTCAAGTTGTTGCAGAGATAAAAATGACAAATGATCTGGGAATAGCCTTTTACATCACCATTTGCTGCACAGTCTTCATCATATCGAAGATCGTTCTTATGATCCTTCTTTACAAGCGATGGAAAAGAAAGGACGCCATTTATGAGCAAGGCTTCTCAAGTGGGAAGATGGTGATGTTCATTTCAGATCCCCATTGTTGCAGTCACTAACATCTGATGTGTTCTTAAAGAGCACATTGAAATTAACCAACAACGACATCATCGGCGCCGGTGGGTACGGAACCGTTTACAGGTTAATGATAAACGAAACCATGGCCTTCGCTGTCAAAAGGCTTAACAGAGGAACTGCAGATCGTTGTCAAAACATGCGTCTGTTTTGAAACTTAACCGGGTACTCGGGTACCCGGAAAATTCATTTTTTTGACCCGGGCCCGACCCGGAAAGTGTCGGGCCGGATACCCGACCCGGCCGAGTATTTTTTTAAATAAAATTACCCGGTTTTTTATAATCTTGGTCGACGAGTCGAGTCAACCGGATCGAATAATTTTGCACAACCCTAATGTTGGCTTTTCTAATATACATCACACCTCATGCTTCTTGTTACTTTCTTCTAATTAATTACAAAACTATATATTTTACAACCCATATGTTTATCAATAACACGTGGAATGGTGGATGGGTTGTCGACATGGGAAGGACAGAAAAAGCGACCAGATATCTTCAGCACGTAGGAGCAGTGTTATTTTCAAAATCAATAATCTCAAGATAATTAGACTTCTTTAATGCGAAGGAACAATGTTGATTCCGTAGGCAAAATTATCCAAATACGACTAGAGGTCCTCAATACGAAAGAACAATATCATCCAGAGACTAGACCTCCTCAACACGAATGAGCAATGTAATCATTAGATTTGACATCGAGCAAATCACCCAAGCGACCAGATCTCTTCATCACGTAGGAGCAGTGTCGTTTCCAAAATTAAATTATCTTCAGGTAATCAGACTTTCTCAACGTGAAGGAAGAATGTTGTCTTCAGATGTAGTTTTTCAATATGAGTTATCCTCGACGCGAATGAACAATATCGTCAACAAACCCAACATTCTCAAATAAAATGTCAAATCATCAAACAACTATTAGACTTCCTTAACGTGAATGAACAAATCGCTTGTATCTTTAGAGATTGCTTCTCTTCAAGCAAAATTTAATATTGCTTATCACAATTTCCCTTGAAACACTCCTTGAAACACAAATTTTACTTCACTCGTAATTTTCTCTCAAAAGTAAATTTTTTATCTCACATGAAATAATTTTTTTGAAAACTAATTTTGTCTCACTTGAGATAGTTTCATTTGTAACCCAAATCATCGACATTGTTTCTCTTGAAACAAATTATGTCTTGCTTAAAAAAATTTCTCTTGAAAATGCAACTTCTTACATTATAAATTTCAACCTTTTTTTGAAATTATTTCCCTTGAAACATAACTTTGAAAAATCTCTCTTAAGTAGTGTTTTGAAAATCGGACCGGATCGGTCGGTTCAATCGGAAGCCGTTACCGGTCGAAACCGCTAAACCATTCAAACCGAACCGGCTGAAAACCGAAAAAAGGGAAAAAACCGCCAATTTTGTTTTAAAAAAATTAAACCAAACGACGTCGTTTGTTAAACGAGCCAAGTCGAACTCGAGTATTGTTGAGCTCGACTCGAACTTGAAAACTTTAAAAGTAAGCTCAACTCTACTCAGACTCATAAGCTAAAAATTATTAAGTTAAACTCGAACTCGGAATATAATATTGAAACTTGAACTCGAAAAGGCTTGAACTCAAAAAAAATTTAGAAGCTCGATTGAAGCCTAAAATTCGAGCTTGATTGAAGTGAAAGAATAGTTCACTCAATGCTCACCAAAAAGCTCTATGATTTTGAATGCCAAATTACTTCTATTATTTATAAAAGTTAGTTGGGATGATCTTTTATGTTTCTTAGCCATGTGAGATTGTTTTAAAAAAAATTAAACCAAACAATATCATTTTGTTATGATTTTTTTAGTCCCAAATTTATTTTTTAATTATAGTTATATAATTATATTTATTATTTAATATGTTTTACCTTAAATATCATGTTATAGTTAATTTGAATCATTTTGTTTCACTTGATTTTTATGGTTTTTAACTTATATATGTTATGACTTGCTTTAAATATGAATTATGATATAAAAAATTATGACGTCGTCCGGTTCTTTCAACCGATCGAACCGGTTCGACCGGTTGAACCAATGAACCGATAGCATGACCGATTCCCTAACCGATCCGATTCTAAAAACCATGCTCTTAAGATAATAATCATTTTCAATTTCGCTTGAGACAACATTGAATTTCAAAGCAAAATATGCGACCGAACGAAAATTATTGCCTTGTTGTCTTTATCCTATTTGTGTCTTCACACCATCGGAAAAAAGAGAAACAACTGTAGCAACCAATTTTATTCCGATCTATATTTTTATTATTATTGTTATTATTATTATGACACACTCAGTTCCATTTGCCTTTGTTTCCTGTCTTCTTCCCAAAGTTAACCAAAGAAAGTCCTAAAGGCTTCATATTTTTTTAAAAATTCAATTTTCAAAGTTCATTGCTTTCACCCATCTTTGACCGGTTCGGATTCTCAAGTGAGGGTGAGAAAACATAAAATGTTGGAATACAAACGTAACTCGGAAAGTGAGCGAGTTCAATGAGTAGTGAAAGGTGTAGCAACTTTAGTCATCTCTCTTTTGAGCTTCTCCCAACATCCAAGTCCTATCTTTCTCTCAAACCCCACCGATCTTCCGACTTCGCTTACTGCACTATCCGATCCGTTGTCAACTCCGCCGGAAAAACCGGCCTCAGTTTCCGTGATTTCCGACTGCTACGCAACATAGGTTCCGGCGACATTGGGACTGTCTACCTCTGTCGGCTGGCTAACGTGGATGAAAACTGTTTTTATGCGATGAAGGTGGTGGATAAGGAAGCGTTGGCGATGAAGAAAAAAGTGCAACGTGCTGAGATGGAGAAGAAGATCTTGAAGATGCTGGATCATCCATTTTTGCCTACTTTGTACGCTGAATTTGAAGCTTCTAATTTCTCATGTATAGTTATGGAGTATTGTTCAGGAGGTGATTTGCATTCTCTTAGACACAAACAACCTCGAAAATGCTTCTCTTTGAACTCCGCAAGGTACACTTTTTTCTCATCTTCTTCCATAAACAGGTTTTTGAAGCTCTAACGAGTAACTACATTGACTTTACCCTGATATTAGTTTCATGCTTTAATCTGGGCAGCTTTTTTTCATTAATTTCCATGCAGGCAACATTAAAAGAGTTGGCTTTGTCATTGATTTCCTTTCCCCGTGCTTGGTAGTTGAGAAAATTTAAGTTAATAATAATGTTTTTGACAGGTTTTATGCAGCTGAGGTTCTGGTAGCTCTTGAGTACCTTCACATGCTGGGTATTATTTACAGAGACCTAAAACCGGAAAACGTTTTAGTACGATCAGACGGTCACATCATGCTCTCGGATTTCGACCTTTCACTTTGCTCCGACGCTATCCCAGCCGTTGAATCACCGTCGTCTTCTCCGGACCCAATGCCGCCACGGAATCAGTCCGGCAACTGTCCCCAGCTAACCCGACTCTCCTGTCTCTTCCGTAGGATCCTGCGGTCGAAGAAGATCGAAACGCTCGCACCACCAAGCAAGCTGTTCTTCGTGGCGGAGCCTGTCGCTGCCCGATCGGAATCCTTCGTTGGGACCCACGAGTATGTCTCACCGGAGGTCGCCTCCGGTGGGTCTCACGGCAATGCGGTTGACTGGTGGGCTTTCGGTGTCTTCGTATACGAGATGATCTACGGGCTTACGCCTTTTGCGGCTCCATCGAACGAGCTTACGCTGCGGAACATCGTCGAAAGGCCTCTCGCTTTTCCAACCCAATCGCCTTCCTCCCTCCTTGAACACCACGCGCGTGACCTCATTTCCGCCTTGTTGAACAAGGACTCCAACGCTCGCTTGGGATCCAAACGCGGTGCTGCCGATATCAAAACGCACCCTTTCTTTAAATCGCTGAATTTCCCACTCATTCGGTCGGTGGCGCCGCCGGAGATACCGAGGATAAGGCGGCAATCGACATCGACGTGTAACCAGACAAATAGCGAGGAACAATCGACCGCGTTTGATTACTTCTTCTGAGAAAGCTCATCTGCAACGGCGTTGTTTGCGCCACGTATTCTGTCTGCTGCTGTCATACGTAGTTGCGTAAATATAACCAGAAAAGCAATGAATTACAGTTATTAGGGGTTGAAGAGTCAACTTTTTCCCTTTTATTAATTCAAAGTCTGAGCAAATCCTATATTAATTACTTTGACTTCTTTACTTGGACGACAATAAGATGACCAACAAGTAGTCGTAAAATAAATATTTCTATTACGAACGCATTAGTTCAGTAATATAAACATGTTTTAGGTTCTAGGTTTAAGTTTTATGTACATAGAAATTTTTTGTTGAGGAAATTTGTTCACTAAAATTAAATGTGCGATTTGAGTTAGTTTACGAATTAAGGTAAAACCTTGATTAGTGGTAGAAGGCAAGAGGGGTTAGTGGGGTCATGACCCCCTCAAAATTTGAAAAATTATAATATAATCCTTTAAAATTTTAAAAAAATTTAATTTGGCCCTCTCAAATTTTTTAAAATTTCATATTGAACTTTAACATTTTTTTATTAAACTCCTTCCCATAACTTTTAAAAAATCTCATTAAACCTATCAAAATTTTAAAAATTTTAGTTAGACAATAATATTTTTGGAAAAATGTAAAATAAAATCATAAAAATTTTAATTTAAACCTCTGAATTTTTTAAAATTTTAAATTAACCTTCTCAAACTCTGTCACTAAGTTCTGCTACTAACCTTGATTGTGACACCCTTATACCGATATTGGTGACTCGATTCGATCTAAGGTGTTACATTAGGGCCACCTGAGCGACCCATAATAAAAATCTAGAAAAAATTATTTTTTTGATAAAACATGTAAAATCATAAGACAATTTATAAATAAAATAAAAATTCACGAAGTCATTCATATAATACAATTATAATTAAAATCATACAAGTTTCAGACTCAATATAAAAAGCAAATGTGATCTACATGCCCCTGACTACGCTTGTACCATACTCTGCAAGTCAAGCTAAATGAACTCCCATTACTGAAGTCCATAACTGCACTAGATCGATTCTTTTTACCTGAAATAGTAAGTAAAAGAATGAGCTTTGGGGAGCTCAGTAATACAGAACTACCAGGTGATGATGAAAGACATGCAGATAAATGACAAGCATAAAATTTCCTTATTGATTCACGCATCTACAAGTTTTCTTGATGAGTTGGGGTTCCACTTATATTTCTTCAGGTAACAGATAGGAGGCTTATAGTTCATAGGGAACGTTGAGAGGACTAGGCTCAAGAGATTGAAAATAGACGTCTAGTGTGTTCCCTCAAAACCATAATAAAATGAAATCATAGTTTAAAAATAGTAGTAATTTATTTTAGTAAAACAGATTTTTAAAATGAGAAAATAACCTCAGTGACCGAAAATTCCTTATAATATACGATTTTGACCAACTTTTTTTCGATTTGCCAAAATGACCAACAAAATCGCAATGCGATCTCTAAATCGCAACACGATCTCCAGTATCGCAAATCAGTTTCCAGATTCGCAACGCGATTTTGACTATCGCAATACGAATATGTAAATCGCAACGCGATTCTGACTATCGCAAAGCGATAATACATAATCGCAATGCGATTTTCAAAGCGCCATTAGTATCGCAACGCGTATTTTATTTTCAAATTTCAAGCACGAATATTAATATATCCCGTAATCGCAACTCTTAACCTAAAACCCTAAATCACAACTCAGTCACATCTCCATCTCTCACTCTCTACGACGACATCCGTCCACATCTCCGACGAAATCCGTCCCCATCTCCGGTGAAATCCGTCTATCTCCATCTCTCAGAGCCACCCTCACAATCATTCACGATCAGAAATGGAAAATCAACCAAATCAACCACCGAGGGTTAGTTTTTTTAATTATTTTTATTTTGAAATTTTTGCATTATTATTAGGTTTTTCATATTGAAATTGATGATAAGTTTACTGGTAATTTCAATAATAGATTAACTATTTCACTTAGATTGCTTATTAAATTCATTCGATTGCTGCCAATACTGCTAAATTGTTTAGTCTTTAACCCTGTAAAGTTAGTATTTGTCTGTTTTTTATCTTTTGGTTGAAGTAATGCAATTCATTCAAGTTTCAATTTTAGACAACGACTATTTGAAACCGAGGATCGCAACGCGAAATGAAAATCGCAACGCGATTTTAGTTTCGCATTGCGATTTTCTCATTGCGATTTTCATTTCGCGTTGCGATTATCACGTTGCGATAGTCAAATTCGCGTTGTGATAGTTATTTTCGTGTTGCGATTTTAAGTTTCAGAAACTATTATTCTTCTGCAAATTGAAACTTGAATGAATTGCATTACTTCAACCAAAAAACAAAGACAAATACGAAATTCACAGTGTTGCAAATTTAAGTTTGAAGAATAAACTACTACTACTCTTTATTTTTATTATTGTTTTTGGTATATCTTCACAGTGTAGTTTTTGGTATATCTAACTTGGTATGTTTATTGTTTTTGTAGAACTTTTTTTTCGGCTCAATTGACCTTAAGGAATAAAATAAGCCTAGTCACTACAATTGCGTCGAAGCTTTCACCTGTACAAAGAAAATTGTTAGAGGATACTTGCTTCGGGCCATGGCTGAAAGTACAACATCCGGGTGGAGATGCTATGTTGACCCATTTGTGGCTTCAGACTATGACTAGCGATCTACCCGAGAGTATAAAACGTAGTAATGAAGAGATATGGTTTCATTTTCCACCGGCGTATACGTGTTTTGGGTTGGAGGAGTTTTGCTTAATCACTGGTCTACGCTTCGGACACGATGATGTAGGTCGATACACTAGTCATATTACCCGTCCATCATGGTTATCCCGGGTTTTTCCTGAGCTGTCAATAGAGAAGCCGAATTTACATGTCGACGACTTGACAAGATTATTGAATAAGAAAGATGGTTTTACTCAGATGGATGACGTCGTTGTTGTCCGAGTATGCCTTTTAGTACTTTTGCATTCCGGCTTTTTAGGCAGAGAGGCCAGACAACCTATTCCTAAGGACCTAATATTATTGGTAGAGGACCTAAATGCATGAAACCTGTTTCCGTGGGGTTCGTATCTATGGAAAGCTACCTGGAATAAGTTGTCGTCTGCCTTAGATGACCGCAAAAGTTTGCGTGGTGATGGTTCCAAATACACTTTGTCAGGCTTTATTTGGGCCTTTAAGGTAAGAATTTCTATTTAATGTTTCCAAAATTATAATTAATTATTTAACAATTACTAATGTTTGTGTATTATATTGTTTGTAGATTTAGATAATTGAGGCTTTTCCCGACATGTAGACATATGCATTAAAAACTTCAAATGATATTCCTAGAGCTATTTCCTGGAAGAGGAAACGGCGGCTGTTGATTTGGGAAGAGTTACTACGGTATACGACAATAAATGATGTAAGTTAACACAAATACTACCATATATAAACAAGTTATTACTAGTACACGTTTAACTTTGTTTGAGCTTTTATATTGTTAGGAGGCCAACACTCCATTACAGAGGCTGACACCTACGGAGGCTGAGCTTGCCACTGATTGGTGGCAAGCTAGTAAGCATTTTTTTGATGGCACGGATGATGAGCAGCCTCCACTTTGAGAGCCATCACCTCACCAGAACCATCACCTGATCGACCACACTATAAACCTCTACAACGAGAGCCATCACCTATTCCGTCACATCATCCAGCCTCTTCTCCACCATCACCTCATGATAGGCGATCGACAAAGATGCCACGACATTTATCTCCACATTTATCTCCATGTTCTCCACCTCCACCTCTACGGGATGAGTTAGGGGAGTTACGTGATGAGGTCAATGCCTTGCGTGAGGAGGTCGGTACTTTACGCGATAACAATGGTGCATGGCGTGATGAGGTATCTACTTTACGTGGTGAGGTAGCGGCTCTACGTGAGATGGTAGCATCATTGCAGAATGAGGTTCATACTCTACGCAACGAGGTAAGTTTAAGATTTTTCATATTTAACTTGATTTACTCGTAATTTCACTTAGATTTCGTAGTAAATTCATTCGGTTGCTACCAATACTGCTAAACAATTCTAAAATAACCCTGTGAAGTTAGTATTTGTCTTTGTTTTGTCTTTTGGTTGAAGTAATGCAATTCATTCAAGTTTCAATTTGTAGAAGAAGAATAATCGCAACACGAAACTTAAAATCGCAACGCGAAAATGACTATCGCAACAGGATAATCGCATTGCGAATTAAAAATCGCAATGAGAAAATTACAACGCGAAACCAAAATCTTAACGCGAAACTAAATTCGCGTTGCGATTTTTATTTTGTATTGTGATTATCATGTTGCGATAGTCATTTCCGCGTTGCGATAGTCATTTTCGCGTTACGATTTTAAGTTTCATGTTGCGATTTTAAGTTTCAGAAACTATTCTTCTTCTGCAAATTGAAACTTGAATGGATTGCATTACTTCAACCAAAAGACAAAGACAAATACTAACTTTACAGTGTTGCAAATTTAAGTTTCAAGAATAAACTACTACTCTTTATGTTGTCCTTGAACATGCACTAAACCTATATGTTGTCCTTTTAAATGTTTATATAAATGCTTACTTCTGGAATGTTATCTGATGCATTTTATGAACTATGATAGAATAATAACTTGGGTGAATACCGTGCAAGTTTGAAACATATTTGTCTTTGTTTTCACTGTTTAATATCATGTCTTTTTATTTACTGATTTATGTATTAATTTATTTTTAGCGGCCCGATAAGGTGGATGCTTTACGTCGGGTTTTTCTTGCACGACGGGGTTCACGCATCAGACGGCGTGCACGTACCATTACGTCTCCGTTCACCCCAATAGTGTGAAGACTCCGTAAGAAGAAGCCCGACTCACCTGTCATCGTTTAAGAGGCCTCTCCTATCATTCAAGAGGCCCCTATCATCCCTCAAGAGTCCCCTCCCATCGTTCAAGAGGCCCCTGTCATCGTTGAAGAGGTCCCTCCCACCATTCAAGAGCTCGATTCACACGGCGTAATATGTCGAATTATTAAGAAACCCTCTCACATGCCGGACATGATGGATGACTGTTGGCTTTCGTATGAGTTACCAGCCAGTACCATTCGGGCAGATGAAGTGGAGAGGAGAAAACTACCGGAAATAATTCTGGA